TGATATGCTTTTCAGATGCAAGTAACTTTGGTTTTATCCTTTAATGTAATTTATATGCAAATGTGTTTGCATATAACTTTCTTGAACTTTTGTCAGTTTTGTAATGATATTTTATTCAACATTTTAAAGCAGATTAACACGATGTGCAGAAAAGGTTTTCAGATAGAGACTATACATAGATTTAATGTAACTTAATCATTATTTGATTGAGCACCAAAATAAATATAAACAGAGTTAATATACAAGAATATCTTAGGCATAAATTTTATTCCTTATTTTTGAATATGTTCCTCTTTTTTTATAGCATTATAAATTTACGACCTTGTTGAATTGTTGTTGCTGGGATTTTAAATTAACTTTTGAGTGCATGAAGAAAGAACTAGTAACTTCTATCTCTTGTTTGGTTTTTATTATTTGGATTCATTCTCAATGCTTTTATTATATGGTATAGATAATGTCTAAATTATATTTATATTTTCTAGAAATCTAGAAAAATATGTGTATAATTTAGACAGATTTTTTGGCATGAACTGGTAGGGCAGTTGTGTGAGCTGAGTTAAACTCAATCTCAAATCAGGGAAGAATGGTGTGCGATATCGTCTATTGCCATTTCATTCTGCAGTGCCCCAAATGGGCTATTTTTGAATAAGTAATTACTTACTTAACACAAGGCATTAAATGACCATGTGTACATATATACATGATGGATAATGTGCACATTTCAATGCTCTTCGTACATAGTTTATAAAGCTTACTACCATCCATTGTAATCATACATGGTATACATTGTGGATAGCGTATACATTTATGTACATTTCTACGCTTTTCGTGCATAGTTTATATAGCTTACTACCATCCATTGTAATCATACATGGTGTTTTTTAGGGTGTTGCTTGATTGAATTGAATTTTGCCTTTCGAAGGACCGATTGTAAATACTTTGATTTTGTAACTAGTAATATTTATTTTACTTTAATTACATAAATTACATCGTATTTATAATAATTTTAATATGGTTTTATTACGTGTTGAATGATTTGAGTTTAATTTTATAATAAATCGATTGATGATTTTTTGTTTTCTGTTTCGCAAATACCCGCATGCTTTGATTGGCGCGAACATACTCCAGGGCTTGAAATATAGATTTCAAAATATTTGGTAATCTTCGTGAATGTGAATTAAGTTGTTGTTAATGGTTTTGGTAACACACATATTCTGTGAACAGCACGCTTAAGTATACCACCCGTTGTTTTAATTCCATCGCACAATTCCATCGTCTCCTGGGTGCGTTTCAATGATACGTCCTAATTTCCACTGCATTGGAGGTAAATTTTCTTCCTTGATTACTACCATTTCCCCTATTTCAATTTGCTGTGATTGTTGCACTTGCCACTTCGTTCTACCTTGTAACTCTGAAATATATTCTTTATGCCAGCGTTTCCAAAAATGTTGCACAAGTTTTTGGAGTCGTTGATATCGAGAAAGTTTATTGTCAGGTATATCAAACACTGACGGATCTGGAGTTGAAATCAAGGATTTTCCAATGAGAAAATGACCAGGAGTTAATGAATCATAATCGTTAGGATCGGAGCTTAAAGGAGAAATTGGTCTTGAATTCAATATTGCTTCGATCTGGGTCCGAACCGTAAAAATCTTCGAAGGTTAAAATGGCGTTTCCTAATAATTCGTTTTAGGTAAGCCTTGCATGCCTTACTTATGGCAGCTTCCCAAAATTCTCCGAAATGAGGAGAATTCGGTGGAATGTGCTTCCCATACACACCTTCGTTAATCATTTATCAGTAATCTCGTTTTGATTTGACATTCTTTGTAAAAATTTATACAGTTCCTTTAATCCAGAAGCTGCGCCTATGAAATTCGTTCCGTTATCTGAATATATTTCGCGAGGTTTGGCACGTCGTGCCATAAATCGTTTTAATGTTGCCATGAAACTATTCGTCGTTAAATCAGATACTAATTCAATATGAATTGCCTTCGTAACAAAGCATACAAACAAACATATATACGCCAAAAAAAATTTTGGCCAAAAAAAAATTGGCCCAAAAAATTTTGATCAAAAAAATTTCGGTCAAAAAAATTTTTGGTCAAAAAATATTTGGTCAAAAAAATTTTGGCCCTAAAAATTTTTGGCCAAAAAAATTTTAGTCAAAAAAAATTTGGTCAAAATAATTTTGGCCTAAAAAATTAATTAATTGGTCAAAAAATTTTTTGGTCAAAAAAATTTTGGTCCGACTTTGGAAATTGTAAAATAATTTTACTGAAAATTTCAAGGAGCAACGGTTACCATGACAACGGTTACACGGTAACTATTATTGCTATTATTTTACAATCTTCGTATGTAACCGTCGCCTTGGTAACCGTTGCTAGCTTGAAATTTTCAGTAATTATTGTCAAAAAAATTTTGGCCCAAAAAATTTTGGTCAAAAAAATTTTGGTCAAAAAAAATTTGGCCCAAAAAAAATTTCGGAAAAAAATTTTTAGCCAAAAAATTTTTAATCAAAAAAATTTTGGTCAAAAAAAAATTGGCTGAAAAAAATTTGGTCAAAAAAATTTTTTGTCAAAAAAATTTTGGTCCAAAAAATTATAGTCAAAAAATTTTTTGACCCAAGGTTTTTTCCGAAAATTTGACCAAAAGTTTTTTCCGAAAATTTTTCAAGCCAAATTTTTTTTAACCAAAAATTTTCGGAAAAAAATTTTTGGCCAAAAAAATTTTTAGTCAAAAAAATTTTGGTCAAAAAAAATTTTGCCCAAAAACTTTTGAGCCTTTGAAACTTTGAATTTCTAAAAAAAAATTTTGGCTGAAAAAATTTTTAGTCAAAAAAAATTTGGTCAAAAAAAATTGGCCCAAAAAAATTTTCGGAAAAAAATTTTGGTAAAAAAAAATTTGGTCAAAAAAAAATTGGCCCAAAAAAATTAGGTCAAAAAAATTTTTGGTCAATTAAATTTGGTCAAATCAAAAAATTTTTAGTCAAAAAAATTTTGGTCCAAAAAATTTTAGTCAAAAAAATTTTTGGTCAAAAAAATTTTGGTCCAAAAAATTTTATTCAAAAAAATTTTGGAAAAATAAATTTTGGTCAAAAAAGTTTTTGGAAAAAATTTTTGGTTAAAAAAATTTTTGGACAAAGAAATTTTTGGTCAGAAAAAGTTTGGGAAAAAAAATTTTGGTAGAAAAATCTTGGTCAAAAAAATTTGGCCCAAAAAATTTTGGTCAAAAAAATTTTTGTAAATAAATTTTTGGCCAAAAAAATTTTTGGTCAAAAAAAATTTGGTCCAAAAAAATTTCGGAAAAATTTTTGGTCAAAAAAATTTTGGTCAAAAAAATTTTCGGTCAAAAAAATTTTCGGAAAAAATTTTTCGGAAAAAAATATACTTAACTAATTAATTTTTATACCTTGAAGCGTACTAGTATACAAAGGTGCTAGCTAAAGCATACGTCTGCTCTTGGCAATTGGACGTTTATCGCCCAACTGGACCCACTTACCGCGATAAGGTATCAACCACGAGGGGGAGAATTCACTCTGAGATCGACAAAGACTTTGAAATCCGGTTTTCCAAATTCCGGCATATGCCACGATCGCCCATTACACGCTGCGATCGCTAGTCGACTCTGGACCCGGTATTCCAAAGTCGACGAACGCGAACGCTTCTCACTTGCTCACACGTACTCTTAGCACACCATGCAGTCGAAATCTTATAGTTTCTCAAAAATCTATTTTTTCCAAAGTATTTTTTTTTTCAAAATGTTAATCCTTTTAGAAAAAATAATTAAAAAATAAAAACTACGGGAAGTACCAGCAATTTGCCTTAAGGCACGATGCCATGCGCCCCACTAGTTATATAATCTATCTGAAAACATTCAATATTCCTCGAACAATTCGTTACTATACGGGAAGTTCCAGCAATTTGCCTTAAGGCACGATGCCACACACCACTAGTTTCTTATTTATTCAGTCACTAATATCCAAAAAGCTAGGTGTTTCGCTTTTTGTTCTTGATTTTTTTTGTAACCCTTTGAATTTTTTAATATAATTATAATTAACATTTTCTGTGCATTTCTATTTAGTTATGTATTTGTTTGATACGTACATTCGAATAATATTGAGTCTGCTTTCATTATTTTTAGGTTATATGTAATTTTCATAAACTTCTAAAAAAATAATTATAAACTTTTTCATAAACCAATAAACTTCTTTTTTCAATCGTTTGTGACATTGTTTTGCATTATAGGTTATGTACAAATAAAAACATGTGTCTCCAAATATTTATAAGTTCTTAATATACTTAAAGAAGTATAATTAGTTTGTGTTTCAGGTTAATAATCATGAGTAAATGTTTAATATACACATAATGTTATCAATTATATGAAACATCAAAAATATTCTAAATTTTATATTTTATATAAACAGTTTGTTCTTTTAAAATTTGTAGATCTTCAATGTTGATCTTAAAATTTCTAGACTTGAACATAATTCAATATATGAGATGAGGATTATTATAGATAAACTAGCAAACTATTACTATAGATAGAAATTAAGATCCCAAAGGTTGTAAGAAGAATTGAGGAGAAAAAGTAAAATATCATATTTGTTACAAGAAGCATTTAAACCTTCAAAATGTTAGCATTTAGCTATTAAATGTTAGTTTATATTGAGAAGTTTAATTATGAAAAAAATCAAAATCTATCTAGTGCAAAAATATGGTAATAAATTATAAAACGTTTTTCCTGAGTCTGAAATTTCAAATTAAAACCTCAAATTTACAACATAAAATTGATTTAATTATATTTTTATACATTTTTGTTTTCAGAGAAAAACAAGCATGTCCACATATCGTCGGGTCGAAGGCAATTTCTGCGGTTTGTAATTATATTTCCAGTGGCTGGTATAGCTAAGTATTTTTTGGCTAGCATGGAAAGACTTTGGCTAGGATAGTTTTTTGTATTTGTTTTCATTACGGCGCCACCATGCAAATACGCAGTCTCTTCTACAGTATCAGCTCAGTAATGTATATATCAATTTCTGATTTTGTAATAGTAGGCATAGCATTTTCTCTTTCCTCATCGAATAATACATCTAAATAGTATCTTCCTATTTCAGAAGATTCTTCTTCAATCGTAATGGGGGATGTCTCTTCCATACAACTTAACAACACTATTGCCTTTTGTTTTACATTATCAGGAACTTCATCTTTGTATCTGGGATCTAATATGCTTGCCATATCAAAAACTGTTAAATTTCCATCGTCAACATTATAGAGAAATCTATCCATTAATTCAGTTTTTATTAGTTTTTTAAACATTTTCATATGGATAGATTCCTCTTCATTAATTCTCTCTATACATCTTCTCATTAACGAAGACATCAATCGTTTTGCTGCTGACAATGTTACAGCCTTTTCGGATGACAATAAGTTGGTACTCATTTCAAATGGTCTTAAGATCACGACCAGCATTCCTGTTATCGCCCATTCCTGCTCAGTTATTTCAAGTGACTCAGCTGTCCTAATGTTTGTCACAGAGCGATCATTGAGAACAGCTGGAATTGCTGGCCGTTGTTCTAGCAGTCTTTCAAGCTTGTGGTAAGTGCTGTTCCACCTAGTGATGTTTTTATTTATTAGTTTATGTATTGGCAGTTGTAGTTGCTCTTGCTTCTGTTTCAAATTATAGTAGGCTAAGCTGGAATGATGAAAATGACTTACTACATTTCTAGCTTTCTTCACAATATCATGAACATTACCGACTGATAGGGCCCTATTAATGCACAGCTGTAGGGTATGTACAAAGCAGGGTATGCTATCACCAAACAAGTTCCTGTTCTTCGAAACAGCCCCTGTAATATTTGCAGCATTGTCATGAACAACAGCAGATATTTTACCTTCAATATTCCAAACTCCCAATAGTTCAGCCAATTTATTTTTTAAATTTTCTGAAGTGTGTGTCTCCGAAATTTCGACAGTGCATAATGTCACATTGTTGTACTTCCATGTACTGTCTATTACATGACCAGTAATAGTCCACATATCGGTTGTGATTGCCACATTTTTAGCTTCAGACAACAAATTCTTGACTTCACTGGTCTTGATGTCGTATAATAATTTTACACGACTCAGCACAGTACCTCTTGAAGGAATTTTGTATGTCGGTTCGAGAAATTTCATAAATTTCTGAAATCCTTTACATTCCACAAAGCTTAGTGGTAGCATATCTGTAGAAATCATTTCAGCAAGTAAGCATGTGATTTTCTCGATCCTTTCTTCCAAATACTTGCTGCTTCGAAATGTTCCTGTGATTTTTGTCTGCGTCAATGAACTTGTTTGGGAAGCAGCTGAAGTGATGCTAATCATATCTTCAGAGTCACTCAGGATCTCTACCTCTTCTTCGACGTTCATTGAACATATAAAACAGTGAAATATGTTTATTCACTATTTCATTATTTATGTGTATATGTGTATATAATGATAACTAGCTGTAAGTGGAATTCTGTCTTAAGGCAATTAGGGCATCGTGCCTTAAGGCAAATTGCTGGAACTTCCCGTACCAAAAATTATTATTTTTTTTAAAAACGATTAACATTTTTGAAAAAAAATTACTTCGAAAAAATAAGATTTTTGAGAAACTATAAATTTGACAAAAAATTACTTTTTTTGAAAAAAAAAATGAAAAAAAAATTTAATTTTTTTTTTTAAATCTTTATTTTTGAAAAAAAAAATGTTTTCTTTATTTTGACATATGTTGGAAGATCTGAACTTTTTTTCAAAGCAATCGTACTGCTTTAAATGCAGAGAGACAAAATATAAAGCGCGTAAGCGCCGCGTCGCTGTCTAACGGGTAAACATTGGTACGGAACCCATAGGAATGTAAACAAAATTTATACTTATTGTTAAAATCTTTATAAAATATCTATCTGATAATTTGATGTGCATATGTCTAATGATCATTTTTGACCGCCAAATGGCATTTTTTTTACTTTTTTCGTTATATCTCCGAAACCGCTAAACCTGCCTTTATAAAAATTTGATCAAATCTTCATCTTGTCAATGTCAAGTAAAATGTTTTTTGAATTATTAAAATCGGACGCTCCGTTCTATTAAAAACTGAGGTACCGTTTTTGGCACTTTTTTCCCCATATCTTCGGAACGGCTAGACCTACCTCCGCCAAAAACTAATCAGCAATACGGACTAATTATCAATACGGATCGAATGTTTTTTAAATTATTCAAATTGCTTCATCCGTGTTCCCGAAATCGTCGACGAAAATTTGTATCCGCACACACATACATACTACGCACACACACACACACACACACACATACATCCATTTTTTCTAAGGTATGCCAAAATATTCAGAAACCTCTGAAACGTAAAGATATATAAAAATTTACATTTTCGATGTTTTTGCGATTACTATAACTTACCCTACGGGAAGTTAAAAAATTCTAAAGATTTAAGTTGAACAATCAATAGGGCCAATAATGGACTATTATAAAATAATTTCATATTTAAGTTTCATAAGCTTATTTAATTTTTTTCAATGAAAAGTAATATTAATATTATTAGAGCGATACTTCTAACAATTGTAATATTTAAGTATAAAATATATATTTTACACACTATTATTTGCAGGCGCCCATTACTCTCGTCAAATTCTGTTTTATTATACGTCAGCTTATTTATTATTTAATTACTATATTAATTTATATCATTAACTTGAATTTAGCAAGTAGGATTTTCTGGTGAAAATGTAAACTCCTTCGAGAAATTCCGTTGTGCTATTTATTATAAAAATATTGGCGGCACTATAAATGTTTCAGAAACAGAGCAATTTATGCATTTTGTATCAGTATACAAGTATACAAGGATAGTTATTCAGAACTATCATAGCTGGGCACCGTTAATCAAAAAGTTAACTTCGTTAATCGTTAATCCGCTACAAAAAAAGTTAGCTTCGTTAAACGTTAAAGCGTTACATTTCGGAAAAATTAACGCAAGTTAACGTTAATCGTTAATCCGTTAATATGTGTAAAATTACATTTTTATATCGTTGCGTTAGTGAACTTAAAAAACTTATTGGTTTAGGTCCTGGAAGTTAACAGGTTATGAATAAAACAAAATACTTGTATAATTCAAATGTGTAATTTAACCCCTTAATGGTGCGACGCGCTTTATGCACACACCGTGATAATAACGCTATTGGTCAACTTTCTGTTTTTATGATTGCATATTGTTTTTACAAGAATTTTTTTCTAAATAAAGGGAAAGAGTTTTTTTGCGAAAAATAGGAAACGCGCGACGGGTATTAGGTGCATATTGCTCTTCATGAACATTAACATGTTGAAGTTCTCGTCTGAAAGCGAGGCTCGTTTTGGTGTCAAAATGTCTTTACCCGTGGAAAACAAACGTTCAACTGCAACGCTTGAGGGTATAGCAGTATTCTATTTAATAAATTGATTTATGAATATCTGTTCCCCGAGGAATGCAGCATCGTTGAACAAGTCTTTTGAACATGTTGGCACTGTTCTTCATTCACGAGTGGTTCAAATCTTTTCTCTATGCCATTTAATAAGGCATTGGCTAAAGCTGTGCCGTGCGGTAAATAGTAGGCATTGGCAGGGCCGTGTCTGGGTATGTGGCCGCCTGCGTGCGAGCATATAAATGACCGCCCTTAAAAATAGCATAATACATTGCACATTGCTACTAATGAAATGAAAATATATATTATGAAGATAATGATAGAATTTAACAAATGTAGATTACCAAGAACGAATCCAGAGAGAGCAGTAGGAAACTAAAAGGAGCATGACAAGGATTGAATTGCAAATGCAGCATATAATTGATAAGTTGCTACTAACATCATTTAAAAATATGTAATAGAGATATTAAGAGTTTAACAAATGCAGATTCTCAAGAGGATGTAAAAAGGAGAATAACAAAAAGCAAAGAGGAAACAACGAAAAGCATTTCGAGAATGCAAATGCAATTGCAGCGGATTACTGAATTGCTCAATTGAGTGGTCAACAAACCGCTGCAGAGGATCGAGGAGGATGTTGACAATTGTGAAGACCTGATTAGATTGTTGCCGGTGGCAAATGACGAAATATTAGTTGATTTTGAGGAGTTCCTTAGAACTGATAACAAAATGGAGTTTGATAAATATATACTTATTCAAAATGGATCGTATAATGAGTATCTACTAATGATATGCTGTTTTCATTTTAAGAAAACACGGGTTGCGCGTAATGGCGGACATTGTCCAAGAGTGGCAACTGTTTCATTATGCAAGATTATATTTACTGATGTGGTTGCCAAGGAGTACAGTTGGGCCGGGAGCACTGCTGTTTGTTAAATTGATAAAAGGTAATAATGATGTTTTTATAATAGTAAATAATGAAACTCTTCACCTAAAATATTATTATTTTAGGTATTATTATTATTTTTTAAGCCAACAATGATTTCAAAGATTGTAGTTGAAATGGTTTTTAAGGAAATTATAGTGTCGGAGGCTCAGGCAGGAGACTACAATAGAGGATGGCTTCGTCACGCACAGGACCGGTACACCAAGAACGAAGAGAAGACTAGATTAGTCTTCGTAAGAAAGGATTAGTTTTCAAGTTTAATTAAGTTTATTGGAATATTTAAGTTTATTGTAAAATTTAGTTGAGTTTATTGTAATATTATAGTTAGATTTTTCATTGTATTATGTTGTTAGGTTTATTGTATTATTTTATTAGTTTAAATTTATTATATACTTGTATATTGTAAGATTTTCATATGATATCATTTTAAAAAAAACAGTAAAATGCTTCGATTTTTTTTCATGAAAATAAATATTATTTTAATCTAGAATTGCATTTTTAATTCATTAAAAATATTATTTATTAATTTATTCACGTTCCATTTGTTTCTTTTGCAAAAATAATAATATAATAACTGATTGGTATCACAAACCAACATACTCAGGCCGTTATCTTAATTACCACTCTTACCACCCCCCTCTCTATCAAAATCGGTACAATCATATAAATTTATGATTTATGATAGACCACGCTTTATTATTATCACGCAGTCAATTTTTAAGAAAGAATCTCTCAACAAATCCTAACCAAAAACTCCTACCCGCAACACCTCATCCAATCCATAACAAAAATGTATTTTATTATAAAATGCGTGTATTTTATTATATTATTATTTTACTAAAAACATATGTTTGCCAGTTTCTTTTACACTTTCACAAAATTTGAAAACACAATTCATTCAGTATTTAGATGTTAGTCAATCTGTACACACTAGAATGTAACCAAAAATTGTCAAAAAAAATAATTAGTTTAAATGTTCCAGTTATTATTAGCTTGGTTTATCACAGTGTAATAGTGTAGTGTATTTTTGTATAATTAATTTCTGTAAGTATTTATATATAAGTTATATAACTTTATAATATTTTCCTCCTATATCATATAAAATCTTTTAGTTTTTCCACTGAATGACGGTCTCGAAGACCGAAACGTATGGATAAATAAAAAGTATTTCTTTTTTTACTTGGTGTTACTGCCCGATTCTAAATAACTCATCTTCTTCTTTTGTACTTTTGTCTATGGTTGGCCAAACTACTTCAAATGCAACTGTAGCAGCTGTAATCAAAAAAGTTTTTTCAAGAAGTCTAGCAACGCAATATTCAGCCAATGATCAAATATTATAGCTTTATTCATTCGCACACACACACATATTTAATGTTTAATAATGTAATAGTACATGCATGTGTTAAGAGTTTATTATTTAATATCATGTGCTATATGTTGAGGTATAATTTAACAACAATTTCTGATGTATATTCAAGTTTATTAAAAATCATTTGCAGAGGCTATTAGGCTTAATTTTACTAAAGTGACACAACTTGATATCATCAATCGCATAAACGTTGTTATAGCACAGTCTAGAGACTGGAACGGAGAGAAGAAGCGAAGTATTTTACAACTAAAAAAATTATATTGAAAATAGTACAGGCTATGATATTATACCATTACGTACAAATTTTAAAATATAAATTCATATTGCAGGAAATATAAAATATGCTACTCATTTAGATTATATTAAGCTAATTGATCTTCTATTTATTCAGAATAACAGAGGAAGAATAATGAAATTCAAAATTTTAATTTTGTTTTTAATTATTAATATGTATTATATTTACAGTCAGGATGAAAATAATTTTAAGAACTGGCTTCGAATCTGTGAAAACAAATATCACCTTCGGTGTCAATACGATTGGAAAAGCAAAAATGTAGCCGCGGGCCATTTGACAAAAGTTTAGGAGAAGCGGGGTGTAAAAAATGTAATTACATGTCACGTTATACCTCAAATGTTTGTCACGACACCGTCGTCGCATAAAGTGAAA